ATCGTAAGCAATATGGATAGGTTATATTTTCCTGGCGAATACTTTTAGGCAAAAGCATTATTCATTTAGAGATTTTAGCGACACAAATTTTGCGTGGCGATTTCTAGAATCCCTCTGCAATTCAGGTTGATTTAGCTGCGACGAAACTCATTAATCAGACTTGGAGTATCCTTGTGGTAATCAGTTAGCATGATTCTCTCAAGCTTGGATTGCATATCAATATAGAAAAAATGATGTTCAATACAACACCGAAGCATATCCAATATATATTGGCAAGGTTTTTGAAGTTAAAAATCACAGTTTAAAACTTTGTAAAAAATTAAAAAAAAATCAACAAATTTTTTATCAAAATTTCAAAGTTTTTAATCTGAATCTTTAAAAAATTGTTTTGTAGCCAATTTAATAATTGTATAATAATTTGCAAGTCTTAAGTGGCTAAAAATTACGCTTGACATTTCATAGACTTATTTTGTTTTTGCTGACGGTCTTGCACACTTTTTTTCCATGTAACCAACACATTTTCTCAAAATCCTGATTAAATAGTTGAAAATTTTGATACAAATTTTTAGAATTTTGTATAACCTTTTTGTTTACAACATTTTCGAAAAAGTTTTAATACGTATTTCTCAGCCTGCAAATCGGAGCAGAAGATAATTCCCATAATTTTTTGTATGTAGGTATAGTAAAATACTAGTATTTTAATTTTTAAAATTAAATCTTCAAATATAGATGGTGCGCTGCGTGTTAAGTGTTTATAAATATAATTCGATATGGCTTCCTACGCCTTTGGAAGACATTATCCGCTATAAAGCTCCGAACAAAATATTAACTGATATCAATACTAGGAACAGCGCGATGATATGTGTAAATTAGAACTATTTTTTACTGAGCATGCGCCTTGTATGCTATAATTTTCGTTAAGTAACCCCTCTAAAGCTTTTAAAAAGTCTCCAAACGCTTTGCTAAAATAATAAAAAGCTTTAAGGAAGTTTCCCTATAAAAAATAATGCACTATTATGAACTTCTGTGTATGTACATATGTATGTTCTGAGTGCATTCACCCTTAGAAAAAGCACCATAAGAACATCTTAAAGCCATAATGACCACCCTCAAATGATTCATCATATATATGCCTTTAAAGCTTTGTGTTATGTTTACTACAGAAAGCGTGGTAACATTTAAGAGCTTTTTTCTATTTCTAAGTGTCTTTAGCTCTTAGAGGATCATAGTACCGCTTTAATGCTTTTATTGAAAGTTCTCTTTTACTTACATATACAGCCGTGATGTGATTGCTTTTGGTTTACTCTCGCCAGATTTCATATGAAGAGTGTTCTGGGAATTTAAGCAACGAGCATCATGTTGGTAGATTACTTAGAGTGGACTAAAAAATATCATTAAATTATCCACAAGTACAAATTAATCAAATATTCTTGAAGTGTCCTTTGAGTATGCCGCTGCCCCTTAAACCTTTTCAAAATATGCGCTACTTAGGCGTTAGTTCGGTTAATTGATGAGTTACTTTTGATTTAACGTTGCTTTCGGTGTGAAATATTTTTCTTTTGTTTTTTTACATTATTACTGAAAACTTATTTTCAAAACGCCTTAAAGGTGCTAGAGGTATGCTTTAATGGATGGCCAAGCTTAGAGCCATTGGGTGAATACACTTCTTTAGCAATGGTTTGACTCAGCATTAACTTATAATTTCAATCATTTCTAGCCTCTAGCGTTCGAGAAGTGCGTTGGTCGTGGCGTTGCATTGCATACATTTAGGCACTTAAAAAATGGCGCAATACAAAAGTTGTATACTTAATACTCGTATATTGAAAAACTTTTTAGAAAAAGAAAATTTTTCATTTTTATAATTTCACTTTATTCATATTTCTATTGAATATTTTACAATTAATTTCCTCGCATAATTTATTTGCAATAATTACCACCGATCGACAATTACGGACCGATAAACAATTTCAATAATTTTTTGCTTATCAAAAAGTCATCAAATATATTCCCATCTCTACTTATGCAAGTTACAACTAAGTAATTAAATAAAATCACAATAACATACGAGTACATACAACGAACACAACTGACGAACAATAATATACACCTATCTGTTTTTAATAACGTACATTGACGCCTTAGAGGAGTAGATTAAACTATGGAAATCGCGAGCATTATCTCCATGTATAAAAGATTATCTAAATATTTCGGTTTGAGGAAAAATGTGTTTTATAAAAAATTATATTTTCGAAATATGTTAAAATATTATGTTTCGCTACAAAAAAAATGTTTAAAAAATCAACCATTATTTAATGTGTAGTGAAATCAAATATTTTTCATTTTTTTTTTTTTTATGGGTCAACTGCTTATCTATCAGAACATAATAATGAAAACCAAACTATTTTATATAAAACGATATTTTTGAAAAACAAATGTTTGCAAAAACAATGCAAACGTGTTTCAAAAAAGAAAAAAATACTTATGCAACAAATTTTTACGAACATTTTTTCAGTAATTTGTATTGACGTTGAGGCCGTTTTTAATGAAAGATATTGTTATAAAGGCCATAAATAATCATAATAAAAAACAAAACAAACAAAAGGTGGACCGATAGCATTAATAAAACCATTCATCTACTAGTCTGTTAGAAACATAGACTAATTAAATAAATAAATAAACTCAGACGGAAAAACAGTACCAATTTTTTCATCTGCCGAGTGATGCACCCTGATGTTCATAACTCAAATAAATTTTCCGACTTATGGAACACAAATATTTAAAAAATTTAAACTTATAGTGAATGGCTCAAAGAAAATTTGGGATTAACTATTTTTCACAATTGTACAAAATTTCAAAAATAATAAATTAATGTATATAAAGAGAATACAAAGAAAAACCAAAAAAGTTTTAGCAAGCAATTTCAAAAAAATTTCATTGTATTATATTTGCATAAGAAATTGAAAAATTATATTTGCATAAAAATTCACAAAACAGTTACTTAAAAGTTTGAAAAAAACATTTTAATTTTTACATAAAATATATACTTTTATAAAGTTTCAGATTTAGAAACAAAAATTTTTTTCCACGAAAATATATTTGACGAGGATACATATGTATATTTGTAAAACTACATAATATGATCTTATGAAATATTTTTCAAAAAACTGCTTTTCACATTTTTTGTTCGAAGTTTCTTTAAAGAAAAGTATTTAAAAAGAAATGAACATACTAAAATGAATGATTGACATACTAAAAAAGTGTAAAAATTTTTAACATAAAGGTAATTTGATTTAAAAGATTTTTTAAAATAAAATCATTTAAAAAGATATGAACAAGAAAATAATAAAAAAACGTTCACACAAATATAAAACAGTAGGTCAATTTTACGCAAGCTACAACCTAAACCAATTTTATAAAAAATTTTAATTGTAGTTTTTTTATATTTTTCCGAAACAAGAAAAAATATTTGTTGCAAACAAAGTCGGACAGGACCATCAACCTTTTGACTAGTATTACGAAAAAAAATTAATTCTCATTTTTTTTTTTATATTTGCCCAAAACTCATTCACAAAATAATATTTGTTGCGAACACTGTTTTTAGTAATTAAAAATATAATTATCCAAAAAGTTTACCACGGCAAAGATTCGGAAAAAGTATTTTTCGTAAATTTTTCTGGTCGAACAAAAATTTATGACTGGTCTGATTTTACAAATTTTAAAATTATTTTACAGAAGCTTGTGGAAAAAATAAAAATAAACCAAATATAAATTTTCACAAAAACAATTATTTTTTCAAAAAAATATTAATATTTTTACAAATAATTAAAAGCTCAAAATGTTTCTAAGGATTTGTGATTGGACAGGTTTTAAAATTTGTATTATACTCAATTTTTTAAAATATATTTTAGAAATATTTCACCAAAAATTTAAAGATTACTTTCGCCAATAAAAAATTAAAAATGTACATACCTACATGTTTTTTGTGTTACTTCTTTTACAAAAAATTTTAACTCAAAGTATTTCACTTTAAGTAGTAAAAACTTATAAAACCAACATTTTAAGGCACAAAAATAACTTTAAGCAGGAACATAAAAATACATATCAAAACTCGTTTTTTTACTATTTACTACTTCACACTACACTTCAAATAAAATTCTTTGGTTACCGGCAGGCCTCATCGTCATACGTCTTACTGGCCGCTATGATGTATTATTTTTTATTATTGTGTATTAATTTTTTTCTTAATATTCAATTTTAACTTTATACCTTAATTAACTATGTATATATTAAAAATATATCTTGTCTCATGTAAGAATTTAAATCTCTATCAGCCCTTTTGTGTGTTATGTATCGCTGCAAAATATGGAACGGCGCCTAAAAGTCTACGTTCAACTCAGATACCTTTACACGCCGACGTCATTACTTATCTATGTATATAAATTTACGTTTGAGTTATATGTATGTAAGAAATTTTATGCAATTATTAATTTATTACAAACATTTCTATGTATATCCACATATTCTAGCACAATTTCGCTACAATTTACGCTTACTATTTTGGTTATGAAATTTTAACTAATAAGTATTTAGTACAATTTTTGATGATATTTATTTTTGTTTGCTTTTTCTTGTTTTTGTGTATGCTAAAATGCAAACTTCGAATTCACGACAGCTCACGACAGTTCACTTTAGAAATCAGCGCCTAAAAGTAGGCTGCAGTTGGTATGCATCAGAATGCAGTGGGATTTCACGCAACTCATGCCTGTGCCTCAATTTGCTTGCTTGAAATTTTTTCGATAGGTATACAACTTTTTAACTGTTATTCTTACAGTCTATATGTATTTTATAAATTTATATGCGTATGTGACTATTTTTGATGAGTATGGTATGCAGTAAAATGTATTATCTCTTTTCCAAAACCTTTTTTCCAATTTTTATTGTTTTCTGTTCTATTTTTTTTTTTACTCCCGTAAATTAGTCCGCGCGTATTATTTTTTTAATTTTTTTTGTTTGTAAATTTAAGTAATGCGATAATTTTTATAAATCCGGCCACCTTCACTTCAGTCATGCACACATAGCGAGGTCTATGTAGTTAACGAAAAAGCGCGCCGCCACTCGTCCTAATATATACTAAACACCTTGTGCTTTTCTATCGAAATCAGCTATTTACAAAATTTTTAGAAAACACTTGCTTCGTAAGAAGAAAAATATGTGCTCCTTCTTCTTAAAGGACAGACTCATTAAAAACTCGGCCAATCCTTTCAGCGTTGTTTGACTTAGTAAAACCCGTTCCGTATTCACTCATTCTCTGCCTTCCAACTCCTTTTTTCCTCATTTAAATCCTCTGCATCAGCTCATTTGGCGTCTGCGGATCTGTGGTGCTTATGCTCGCATCGCCGCTCAGGTCCAGACCCATCGATGAGACAGTACTCACCATAGCCGAGACCACATTATCGATCGTACCCGCCACCGAACTCAAGATCGTCGCCGCCGTCGAGGTGATGAACGCTGTGGCTGTCGGCGTCATCAGTGTCGGTAGCAGTGGCGCCACCGAAGTGCTAGTTGTGCTCACTGCTGCCGCAACTGTGGTTGTTGCAGCCGCCGCAACTGTGGTTGTTGCAGCCGCCGCTGCTGTTGCCGCCAGCGCAGTTGTACTTGCCTCGGTGGTGGGCAAGAGCGTCGAAACTGTGGTGGTGAGTAACGCCGCAGCGACGGCTGTTGTATTCAACACTGGCGCTGCGGTACTTGTTGTGCTGGTTGTGGTGCTGAGAAATTGCGCATGCGCGCCTGTTGGATCCAACATTGAGGCCGGTGCATAGGGATAGGTCGGACAGGGATTGGTGAGCTGCGCGCCCAACATAGATTCGAAAACATAGCCGATTAGTGAACCAGTTGTCAGCCCGACATTGTAGGAGAGTGTCATCATGTTACCGGTCACCTCTTTGAGGGTGCCAGGCACCTTGGCTGGTGCGAGCATCATTGGAAGACTGCCAGCGAGCCCATTACTGACGCCCAATCCGATTGTGAAGACAAATGCTGCAGTCTCGCCCGAAATGACTGGTTGATGCCTTGGTGCGCAGCACAGCAAAAGCAGCGGTACCAAAACGATGCGCAGACCGGACATTAGGATAAGCTGACGCCGTGACCATGGATATGGCACTGCGGCGAGTATCTTGCCAATCACATCAGCTGTATTGAAGGTGAACATTAGCAATACCGGTAACCAAGTGCCCAGACTGCAAGAAATGATCTCGGATTCGATGCCCGGATATAGAGAGAGCGTGACGCAGTAGGCGAGTGCGATGCAGACCATGTAGGGGTAAATTGCCTGTGCGACAGTCCAGCGTGAAACGAAGCCGTTTTTCAAATCGCTTAACTTGCCGGGCGTACAAGTGCCCGGTGTAAGCACATGCTCCACCTTGAAAGCGACCGTAGTTGGCGTGGTGGGTTCCTGTGGTGTGCTCGGCATATCGGGTAAGCTATTGAGACCCTCGATGACACTCTCACCAGCCGTGGGATTGGATAGCTCATAAACCGGGTTACTGAAACTTAGCGCGCCTGTGGTGTTATTAGCAGCATTCGCTGGTGGTGAAGTGGGTTCAAGCGTGAGTACGCCATACTTGGCGATGGGCGTACCGCCGTCAAGGTCATTTTGCTGTGAGGGAAAGATAGGGTAAGAAATTAATGCATGCAAAAAATATTCGAAATCAAAAAAATTACTTACCAATCGATCTTCGTCAGGCCTGAGTACAATCTTGGCGCATGCCTTCATGTGGTATCGCACAAATGGCGAGTGTATGGTTGCTAGATGCAGCACATAGCTGAAGAGTATGTAGAGGGTTGAGGTGAGAAAGAAGATCACTGTCGACACACGGTCGTTTTGAATAAGCAACTTAGTGACCACACGATTGGAGGATACCAAAAAGCCGGCAATGCTCTCGCCAGCCATAACAGCTTGGGTATATTGCTTGGGCAACATGCTGGCAAAGCCGTAGAAACTCGATTGTTGCACTGTGGGAATGAGAAGGGCAAATGAAGAGTTGAGTGCGATCTGAGAAAAAGTTATTAAATAAATCGACGAAATTAGGAAAGGCATAGCAATAAAGAAGGAAAGTGAAGTGAAATTAAGAGAATTGAATTGAATTGAAGTGAAGAGCAGTGAAGTGAAGTAAAAATAAGTGATGTGAAGTGTGCGTGGTAGTGGGGTGAAGTGAAATGAAGTGAAGGAAGTGAAAAGTGAAAGGAAGTTAATCTAAATTTAGTGAAGGGAAGTTAAGCTAAGTTAAGTTAAGACAAATTAAATAAAATTAAATGGATTGAAAAAATATAAATGAAGTAAAATAAAATTAAGATAGCAAAAAAGTTAAGTTTCCATGCAAAATATATATATTAATTTCCAAGTGTTTTTTTTTAATATGTAACGAGTTTTTTTAGCCAGAAAAAATATTATTGCTCTCATGTGTAAATACAGACCTGTGCAACCGATGGCCACCAGCGATACAGCAGCCAAATTTACCGAATATGCTGTATTGGCAGCAAACATATGAAAGGCCACCTCACACACAGCCACAAAGATGAGCGTAGTAAAGGACACCACATAACCGAAAAGGACACGCACACGAAATGGTGCCAATGATAGAAAAACATTATTGAGCAAAACGGTAGCAAATGCGACAATTATATATGTCATAGACATATCCAGTGCCACTGAGCGTCCGGGGAAACGTGCTTGCCAATAATCGGCGGCGATGATGAAGCTGCAATAATAAGAGAAAAAGAATAAAAAAATTTAAGTTATAGGTATGTTAAACGAGGAATGTAATCAAGTACATTACAAGCGATTGTATTCAACACCTTAAATCTGTAGTTCTCATAAACAATTTTTTTCTGATATTTAAAGCAACAAACCATAACTAACGAAAAATCCAAAATTTTCTTATTGTTTGATTATGATGGATTTTATCGACACACAAGTCCTCACGTCATTTTATGGCAAAAAAAAATTTTTAGTTTTGGCTTTTTGCATTTCAGGCGATCTTTTTAATAATATAACAATAATAATTATAATAATAATAGATCGGCGCTTACACATATGTTAGTGTTTGGCCGACCTTCTCCTCCGAATTGTAGCGTACACCGACTCCGAACGCCATTACAAAGTATATGACCAGAGGCACCCCCCAAGGAGGCATTCTCTCCACTCTACTCTGAGCAGTGAACACCCTACTTCTAAGCCTAAAAGGCATCGGTTGTCAAGTCATAGCGTACGCTGATGACATAACAATCGTGACAACGGGCAGACATCTTCAGGTCCTGAGGGTGTTATTGCAAAACGCACTCGGTGTGGTAAAAACCTGCTCCAAGGAATGTGAACTTAGTGTCAATCCTACCAAGACAGAAATGGTACTTTTCACAAGGAAGTGTAAAACTCCTTTATTTAGACCTCCAACCCTAAACGGGGTGGCACTTACTCTCCCAACCGAGGTCAAATACCTTGGAATTATTCAAGACTTGACTGGAAGCGAAATATTGAAGGCCGCGCCAGAAAGGCCAATACCGCCCTTTATGCCTGTAAGATGGCTATATGCAAAAAATGGGAATAAAACCACACATAGTACACTGGATGTACTCAGCTGTGATAAGACCCATCCTTTTCTACGGGGTCACCGTATGGTGGCCTGGGCTAAACAACACTTTGTCCTGAGGCAAGGTGGAACGGGTGCAGGAAACGGCTGCCATGCTAGTCACGGGAGCACTGCCCACTGCACCCACCAAATCTCTGGAAATAATGTTAAATCTTCCACCTGTAGATCTCTACGGAAAGTTTCGTGCCGACTGCAGTGCAGCCAGGTTAAATACAATCCAGCCGTGGAGAGACCTCAGATTCGGACACGCAAAAGTACTTCGAACTCTACCGGATAATCTACGACAGATAGATTATACCACTCCTCTACTCTGTTTAGACAACAAATTCTCCACAAGAATCCCAGAGACGAACGAATGGAAAGGGGCCACATACCTGAACCCAGGATCTACCGTTTTTAATTAAAAAATATTGTGAAAAAAACACTATAGTTTAAAGAAGAAGAAGATATAGCTGCTAATTCGGAGATCGCCAAATCTAGTCATCAGTCTGCAATTATGAAATCTGATTAGGAGCTGATGTGAATTCGAAATACATAGCAGTTATAACTTCTAGCCTTTTTAAACTATTGTTGTTTTCACACAATAATTTTTCGCTAAAAACACTCTCAAGCTCAACTATAAGGCAAGAAAATGAGACCAAAATATATATTTAGGTATAGAATTCTTGAAAATCAATACTTTTCGATCGGATAACTGTGTTTCACTTCAGGAAACTTCCAATAATAATACCCAAATGTTTATGTAAGCAAAAAACGAAAATGGGGTGACCGATTAAAAAACCTTTATTAAAAAAAATGGTATAATAAGGAATTGGGTACTATTACTGGAAATCTCATGAAGAAAAACAGAGTTTTCCGATTGAAAAAATTTTAATTTCAATAACTCTATACCATTTCAACGAAAAAATGTGAAAATGAAAAATACAATATACATGAAAAACTTCATGGGCTTTGGGGCAGTTCTAAATCTTTTTTTTTTTTTTAAAGCAAAAAATGGTGATACCTTTTTCCATTTAGAAAAATCCCATTGTGTGATATCTTAAAATTTTAAACTTTTTTTTGACCACCCTAATGTGCATACTTATGTATAAAAGTACTTTTTTCAAAGTACATTTAAGTGCAACAAACAGCAAGTTCAATGTCGGAAGACATACTCGTGCCTACATACATATGTATGTATGGGGACATGTAAGTAACACAAAAACTTATTTGTTTGCCTTTTGTTTTCGCTCCATTATGATTCATAAATGTTCAAATTTGTTTTCCTTTCTTTTTTAGCCTACATTCACATTGGTTTTATTTTATTTTTTTATTCTTGAAATGGGCTTTCATGGTTTGCTTTTTCTTAACATTTTTGTACACATCTAGACTTTTTTGTAATATGTAACTAACAGATAATGAAACGATTTCTGCGCCGTGGCGGTCGCTTTGAGGAATTTGGTTGAAGAACCAGATTTCGGTTCAAAAACGCTCTATCTCAGCTGAAAATACATTGAAAATGTGCCGAGATAGGGCCTTTTTGAATCGATGGCAGGTACGGGGCGTTCTTGAACCAAATTCTGAGCGTATTAACATTTGGTACATGCATCCCTGCGAACTGGGTCAAAATGCTTTATGTGTGGGTATAAACAGGGTCTAAATAGTCTTCATAGACATTTTTAAAATATTTAAATTTGTGACTGGTGGGGCAAGTCCTTGTGACTGGTATAAAGTAATTATCAGCCTTATCATGAATATTTGGTGAAAAATTTCACCGGCGAAAAATTTCGTTCAAGGAAATGGTTCACTTCCTCATTAATGTGAAAGGATTTCGGGTGAACGGCATTCCAATTTCGAAGTGGGGATAACAGCTGTCAAAGCAATTAAATACAATTTCAATTTTGAACATACTTACTTATCCCTTTTTGAAGTCCCAAAAATCTCGGGATTAAGTGCCCTGCGATAGGAAATTTTACAAACAAAAAAAAAATAAAAAGCAACATATTCGCGAAGCCATGGGCCAAATATATGCAGTAAAATTGCGTTTTTGGTTTTCTCTCTCTGACGTCGGGATTTTTTAATAGCACTTTGAAAGTTGAATAATATGAGTAATCTAGAAAATGGTTTAAAAAATTTTGAGCAATGGAAAACATAGGAAAACAGTAATGGGTATCAAATTAAATAGAAAATTCTGTAGGGACACAACAGATTTAATTTGTTTGGTGCATAAGGTATTGAAAATGTCCTTAAAAAATCCACCCTTGAATATCCTTGAAATTTTTGCTATATTTATTTTGGAAAAATTATATGTTAAGGACTAATATAAACTCGACAACGTCCTCAAATATAGTCCTTGTAACTTTATTAGCTTAAAAAAGTTAAATTTAATTAAAAGTGCATTTTCAGTACCTATTCGTCCTTATGAACCCAAAAATTTTAAATTTTTTTAAATCCTACATTGTTTTCTCTTTCATTTGGTACCCACTTTTATTTTACATTGCACTGAATTTTTTAAAAAATTTTTAGAATTCATCATATTTTTGAAATTATAAAGTTCTAATAAAAAAATGCTAAACCTAAAAACGCAGTTTTACTATATTTGGCCCATGGTGTCGTGAGTATGTGATTGTTGGTGTGTTTTGAAATTTTTTTTGTTTCAACCTATTTCAATCTTTTTACTCAGAATTTTTAGAAAAACTCTAGGTACACAATTTTATAAGTACAGCCCATTAAATTACAGGAGGATATAGTGCAAGTTTCAAGTGACTAAAAGTAACGTTGATTTTTTATCTTTTTTTTTGCTGGCGTCGTCACGCATTTTCTTCCATACAAAGTACATACAATGTATGTTCGACAATTTGTTTATATGGAAGAAAATGCCCAGCATCGTTTAAAAAATCCCCAAAAATCAACTGTGTTTTGTTACTGCTTGAAACTAGCATTTTATTCTACTTTAATTTTATGTTCTATAAAACTGCGTACCTAAAATTTTTCTAAAAATGCTAAGTAAGAAGTTTGAAATTTTAGTTAATGTTTTTTTTTTCATTTTTATAATTGTACAAATTTTGAAATGCGCATTTAAATGCAGTTAATTATATGTAAAATGAGGTAGCCTTTTATAAAAAAAAAAATTTGAATATTAAATAAATATAGAAAGACTAAACAGGTTGATATAAGGCGATTCTTTTATTTCTGCCACTGGTATTATGAACTTCTTTCAGATACACAATTCATATGTTCACTTACGTCTTTTTTTGCATTGAGCTTTTTGGACCAACCGGTTAAATTGGTAAAAAACGGCTAAACCGAGCCAACTAAATTTCGCATGTTTTATTTAAATAAATCATAAGTAGAAAGATCAGTTCTTGGAGAGAAGTTGCAAATTCAAGCTGGAAAAAATGTTGCCAGCAAGAATTTGCAATTAGGAAAAACATATGATTGTGGCACATGGTTGCATTTTTTGTCGACGGTAAAATGAATAAACAGGTTCATCGAATTTAAAACTTTACGAACTTGAGCGATTTTAAAATGAAGAATTTAAGTAAATACTTGTTTACATAATTATTTAGTTAATTCCAATGATTTGAAACGTACTCGGAATACAATCTCAACCAGAGTCGATATAGGACTAGCAAGAAATATAAATATAGATCTTGTTTTTTGCCCCTCTGAAAGAATTTTAAAATTCTATACAATGTTGAAATGCAACCGTGGACACTGGCTGGCAGGGAAACTTGCAAGCTCCTGCAAATTTGCGTTCGTGCAGAGTATCTGTAATTGATAGAGAGTTTAGGAGCATTTTTGCTTACTAACTAATATTCAGAGAGATAATTTTCGCTGGATTTTCGACGAACAAACCTATAGTCTTCCCAGAGAGTGTTGCTTTACATAAAAATGTATGCTCTTTTACTTTCATTTTGACGCATTTCAGTGTTGGTTCTTTTCAAGTTTCAAGTTGGCCTTCGGTGTTTGGAATTCAAATAAGTTCTCGGAAAAGAAGTTAGTTTAAATAAATCCATATGTGTACATAGTGCTTGAAAATATCCATTTTCATTCATGAATATGCGCTATCTGGGAAGACAATACCTGTAACATTTATTCTGGGCACTATATCCAAACACAAACGCATGTTAAACAAACAGTGAAACAATTTGTTATTTTCTAAGCTTGCGAATAAGACTTCACACTTAAATTTAAGTCGTTGATAACAAACATTTTATGAAGAAAATCCCCGTTACGGCCTTATTTAGAGAAAATATATTCGTTTAAAATAAAAATAAGCGAAATCGGCCCAATTTTATATAACCCTGCCTCCGCGATAAGTCTAGTAGCCATTTCTAACAGATTTTGGATTGCTTAGTCAAAAATGGAAACATATATATTTAAATTTTAAGAAAACAAGGTAAATAGCAAAATCGGCCAAGAACGGATAATTTTTTTTTAGGTTTTTAGGTTTTTTTTAGGTTTTTAGGTTTAAAGAGCTTTATAAATCGACGTTTTCATACATTTATCAATTTATAAACCTTTTATAAAGCTACTTTATTCTTTAGGAATAAGGCCACAAAACTACAGCTTATTTTTATTTTTTTAATATTTTTAACAAGTTAATGAAATACAATCATTTATTAAGAGGTTATTACTGAAACTGGGAAAGTTAAGCGATTTTAAAATTTATGTCGTTTACCTGCTTTACTTGGAATGACCCTTAGCTAAATATAAATAGATTTATAAAATGGAACATTTAAATTACATTTTGTTTTAATTAAATTCAGCTTCATTATTTTTCGTACATTGCTTTGTTCATTTTCTTGTTTGAGCATTTGATTCGATGCCTCAAATTTAGTACCTCCTGAAGGATTTTTTTTTTAAGAAATCTTTAGTTCTTAAAATCCTATAGAGTGCGGGAATTTCTACTTTATTTCCTGTTTTTATTTAAATTTATTTGGGAAAATACTCCTTCCACATGTTCCTGGAGTTCAAATGACAGTTGAAACGATTTGTTTAAAATTAGTAAACGCTGCTCCTTCATCGTCCCCTTTTATCGTAAACATTTACATACAAAAAACCGAAAGAGGAATTTTTATAATCTTTTATACCTTATTAATTTTTTTATCTTTTTTTGATTGAGTTTTTCTAATTTAGTTTATTTTAATTTTATAACATTTTTAAAATCTTTCATTTTTAATCTGATTTTATTCGAGTTTATTATTTATACAAAACTTTTTCAATAACTTTTTAATTTTTGTTGTCTTTTTTTCTTTATAGTCATAATTCTTTCTTTCATTCTTTTGTTTTCTTTTATTTTATATTATATTTTATTTTGATATATATTTTATTTTACTGTCTTTTTTTATTTTGTTTTTTTTTCTCTTTTATTTGATTTTCTGTATTTTATTTTATTTTTACAATATCTCGTTATCTGAATTTGTTTTTTATGGCCCTATTACAATTATATTCAAGAATTTCATTGAGCATGCGGCCGTTTCATAAAAAAAAACTTGTAGAAAAACAAACGAACAACAACCATATGATCAAGTCTAAATAGCAAGAAAATCATTGCCCTTGATTGTAGTTGGGTTGCGCAAATGAAAAAGTGGAAAAAGAACAACAGTTTACATGGCGAAGTTGCTGGTTCAAGTCCCAATGAACTCGATGAAGAAGTGCGATGAGTAGAAGTGGTGTTCTTCGAAATAGCAGTATATTTCATTAGTAACGGCTTCAAGCTCAATAAAACTGTTGAATATAATTTTACTATACCATTTTATTTAGATGATTTTTTTTTAGATTTTTTAGATTTAGATTTAAATTCTTTATTATTAAATAACATACTAATTATAAAATTTTAAATGCATATAGAAAAAACATACGACAATGAACAACTCCTTTCCCTTTTTTTATCTATTTTCCCTATTCGTTATTTAATTTAGTTTTATTTTGTATTATTTTAATTTACTTTTTTTTAGTTTACGCTTATATTTAGTGTTTTTTTTATTTTATTAATTTTTTATTATATTTTTAATAATTTGTATTTTTTTGATATTTTCTTAGTTTTTTATTTTGCAGCAATTTTTTAAACTTAAATTTTTTAATTTAATTTAACTTTATTATTTTTTATTTATTTTTTCCTTTTATGTTTTTCTTGTTTTTGTTTCAATTTTAATTTATATTTTATTGAATCTTTCTGCCCTTTTTATATGATTTCCTTACTTTCATTACAACTCACCTATTATATGGCAACACAAAGCCAATACCAGCTGCCAGCAATGCCAAGTACACTGCATGTTTGTGATCTTTGGGTGTGCGTACATCCGCCTCTGGACTATCCATGGGCTCATGGCGGATGCCGGCGCCACGACCTTCGAGCGGTTCATAAGTTGTGGCTTGTGCGGATTCCATTTCCGCTATTTAACAGTTATATATGTATGTATGTATGTATATGCACTTTCAAGGTGTACAAGTCGTCGTCGTCTATTTGATAATGAAGAGTAACAAGTAGTTGTTGTTTTTGCTGTAATTTTGTTTGTTGTTTTGATATGTACCTTGGCACTGAGCACAAAAGCAAATATTTAAGTATAGTCTACTTAGCGGCGCACGAAGGCAGATTTTTTCATGCAATGTGCCGTGCTGGCTTTCAAATATTAAGGAAAGGGGTTATTCTATTGTTTATCTGATGGAATATATTTGATGATTTTCTTCTTTTTTTTAGTCTTTTAACTTTTAACCGTTTAGTGCAGAAATCTGATTTTTCTTTTTTTTCGAATTGAGAGTTATTTGTTGTTATATGTTTTAGTTTTGGTCTTAGTACCGTTTTTTTTTTGTTTTTGCTTTTTTACTAAAGCTATCCGCTATTACCGTTTAAATAGTCATCAGCACCTTTCGTGTTTTAATCGATAAAGGAGTAGCAATGTCAACCACTCTTTTGCTGCCCAACCGCTGCTCAAGAAAAACAGCTTAAATTTTCGCCCATTTATTGGTTTGCTATGAAATTTTTAAAAAAGTAATTTACGTTCTGCATTTTCCACTCCCTTTTTTCAAGTATGTAGTACCTTAATATATCGTTCGACAATTTCGATTTTTCACTTTGCGATTTTTTCACAACTTTTACATGTCTGGCTGCTGCCCAGTTTTACAGCCACAGATTTCAGATTTGCCACTCAGATTTAACACTCTCCCACTAATTATTAAACGTTTAAATTTAGTTATTAAGTTTGAATATATTTTTTAGCTCTTCAATATAATTTTTCAAAGACTTTTCCTATGCAAAACTATTTTATGTGCATCGTTTGCAGTGCGCTGCAAAAATTTTTATCTGCTCTTTTCACCATTCTTGGACGTCTAATGCGCAAGTCTTTTTCAATTATCGATTTTAGTTGTGTGCTGTCATTTCAACATTGCAGTTGTCAAATGTTGTTGAAACACCTGTCATGCGGTCACACTGTTGATTTTGGTCGTCGCTTTTGTGGTAATTTTTTGTTTACACCAACGTAAAATCGGTATGCATGTATGTTATGTTTGTTGTTGTTTTTCTACACAGCATTCCTTATCAGTAGATTTGTTTACCACAACGTGCTGGGCGGTATTTCGGCTTGATGTTGTTGGGGATTCGATTGGAGTTGTGCATTTTACTATTGCGAATGTTAAAGTGAATGGTCTGAAGAGCTCGTGAATAGTGTTATTATAACTGCCTTCCTCGTATTGAAATTCAATTTGTATTATTTCAAAATTTCTTTCGTATTCGCATTCGCATAATATTCGTATTCACATTCGAGTCTTTTTAATATTAATTTTCATATAAGTTAACTTACATAAACCAGTCCTCGAATAAAACATGAGCAGAAGTGTGCATAGCATTATTTAAACTAGACAAAAACTTTATAAAAAAATCGATAAAGCAATGTTATGTCATTTTTACAAGAATTCAATTCTTTAAAGTCATTGATTATACGTATTTATACATACATACAGTGTTGGACATATCTATCATTTCGGACCAAATTCAAAATGATTTTTTTCCCCATTTATGCTTATTTATTAATTTTTACGATTTTTCTATTGAAACACAGCTTATTCATAAAAATTGCCGTTGATTTCTTAGAATTTTCTTCCAAATGTGTTGCGGGAGCACTTAAAAGGAGAAAATCATAAGTAAAATGGTAAATGGGGTACGAAAAATTCAGTGCTTAGGCGGGTTGGGTAAATAAGCGGGGAAGTACTTAAAAGAGGGTTTTTCTTCAGATTACATTAAAATATTCACGGTGCCCAAAAATGTTGGTTGGTTACTTAAACGAGTTAGGTACTTAAGCGGGTTTCACTGTATTCATATTCGTAGTCGCATCCGTATCGTATTTATAGTCGGGTTGATATTCGAATTCGTATCGAATTTATATTCGTTGTCATATTCGCAGGCGTATTCGTATTCAAATTCGTTTTCCTAATTGTTTTTGTATTCCCATTCGAATTCGGTTTCATATTCGCATTCGTATGGTATTCCTATTTGTATTCATATTCGTAGTTGTAGAAATTCGTATTGGTATTCGTATTCAAACTGTTTTCGGTGATGGTATTTGTATCGCGATCACATACGTATTCGGATTCATATTCGCCCTCAGATATGAACCAGGGATCCCCAGTTTTCCCGAAGATTCTCTTTCAGGGATAGGTATGTACCTATACAGAAAGTTTTTGCGTTGAACCCTAATCGATGTTCAAATTTCCTTCCAATTTTCCATTTAGCCGCTACTTTGGTTACAGTGCCACAGAGAGTCACAATAGGCAAGAGAACAAGCATGTGACCGACAGGGTGGTCATGTCGAACAAGGAAAGGGAAATTTTTCGTCTACTATCGGTGACCGCCAGCGCGGCCAACTGAATTTAACTTATTTTAGTATGTCGTCTGGTATATTTTCAGAGAGATTTCTTCCACCTAGATTTAGAATTTCATAAAATACTCTGTAAAGAAAGCTGATGCTCTTAATCAAAAGATTACCACTAGACCTGTGACCTAAAGCCTTAGACTCGGTCAGACCAGATCGCATCATCCTCGATCTAGAGAGAGGCAAATATTTCAAACAGTGCAGAGACAAACAACTCGGCATCGAGGACTGCTCCTACATGATAAAATTCATTGATCTGGCAGTACTCATCGCTTGAATAAATTCTCACTGCAGAGAAATACGCCCACTTATCAGAGCAAGAAACCTACAGTTACCCTCTTCCAAGTCTATGGCCACACTCGTACTCAACATAGAGGTAAGCAGGCTCAAAATCTCGACCGTAGCTCATTATTTACGACCTTCCCATTCAGTTTTTGACATGCGCTACAACGATTAGCAAGAAGCTCGCGGCTTTACTTTTGTAAAAGGCAAAGATACTTTACGCGCGAGATATTTACATACAAAGCTATCTGCAGATCAGCAGCGAATTGCGACCGCCGCTGCATGGACGGTAGGCACCAGAGATGCTCATTAGGTCCACGTCAATGCCTCTCAGTGGACTTCACTGCGTTTCACTACGGAATGTGTCTTTATGTCGTTTGAGCCTACTGTCTAAGCAGTTCCTGATATGTTGCCGCAAACTAAATGAGTCCAACTTTAATCCAATATGTAGAACATTTCAACTGAAAGGAAATACAGCTGAGTATGTACAACTCATTTCCCCACTTTGCGAAGCGAGAACATCCACTCTCTCCAACCACTTCCTATCGCCACAGAAGAAAACGTGTAACCCAGGCAGACGACATAGAATCATCATCGCTCAACTGCGACTTGGTAGGGCTCGTGTAGTATAATTAATTCCGCAAGATCCAGGAGTGACCCGCAGATTACTCATGCATACTTTGCAGGCGGAAACGGATCACATACCATCTTGTGCCTCCTCGTAAACCTCACGCATCACACCATAACTACCCTTTGTACATCCGATTGAGTCTGAACACCTTCGGTGAGAGTAACCTGTTGTGAATAGCTCATTAGACTTCTCATTTTTTTGGCGTCCCAAACACTTACCTTAAGGAGATTTGGGTACAATTTAATAGAGGAGATGGAAGGTTGTGTGATGATTAATTAGTACTGAGAGTCTCCTTCTAGCAAATATGAGTTGCCTAGAAGCTAGAGCTCTGCAGATACACGAAATTCTCCTTCACTCCTATCATTTTGATGTATTTTGGAAAGAATTCAGTATTATATTAGTGGTTGTTAGAACCATTTTTTTATTTATTAACTACGACAGTATTTATAAATATTTATTTTTACATTTGTGTGAACAGATTTTGGAGGAGATAATATTATTTAAAACACTAACATAAAAATAGGAAGAAACCCTTAAACAATAAATAATTAATTACATAAAATTAAACTTGGCAATATCAAAAACAAAAAAAAAACGTGAACTTCAATTTTAAACACGAAATAAAGATCTTAACAAATTATGACTAAAAAATATAATAAAACATTAAACTCAAAGAGGCATCTCGCCTTAGTTAGAACGCACCTGTATGCCGCTACGCTCAAAAGTATTCTCCAGTAGCGGAACTTGGGTATAAGTCTGTTGAAGAGCGTACTGCTCGCTCTCTGTCTGTTGCCGATTGCTGCAACGCATGCAACTGCCGAGCAAATAAAACCAACGGCGAGAAATAGACTTGCGACGGCCACCAGCACTCCTTTTTGCGGCCAACTTGCGAGGGCCTTGCACCTCTGGCGTGTCAGAGATATCAACAGCAGTGCTATTGGGACAACGCTCAATACATAAGCCCATGGGCGAGGGTGTGCGCGGATCGTGATTGTATTTTAGTGGCCGAATTTTCGGTGCAATTGTTCCACGCCCATCTCGATCGGTGCTATAACGCTTACGGCGTGCCGGTTTCGGCGACGATGACAAGTCGATCACTTCTACCTCAATGGCTGAATCTGAGCTGCTCGGTTGACTGGTGCGCGAGTTGTGTTGGGACGTGCCGCTGCCACTACCGCTTGCTTTGCTCGGTTCAGCCTGCTGCTGTCGGACCTTAAGGGAATTGCTGCGCCTGCGCAATGCGACTGAAAAGAAGATGAAAATAATTCGTTGTAGAGCACAAGAAAAGTAAGTAAGTAAAAAAAATACCAACCACTCTCCTTCGCCGTTCGCCTTTCGGCACTCTCCTCCGTGCAGCTGCTGAAATAAAGCGACATTGGTTGTATAGCCGCCACGTTCTTAGCATTTCGACCGCACACCTCCATTGTGCCATCTCCGCTGCATAAATTGTTATTCGCATCCGGCGTGTTAGGTGTCACAAAAACATGCAGCTCGTCATCGCCGTCTCCGTGGTCGTGCGGTAGCCCAATATTTAGCGGTGAAGGTGATGGCGGTGGAGCTGGTGGTGGCGATCGGCTTCGCTCGCAATCTGTCTGCGTCGCCTTCGTACTCTTTGCCGCGCAGTGGAGCAAACTCTGCGACGGCTGTCGTCCCAACTGCCCATAGCCACCCAACGAACCTGAGAGTGAAGTCCCATGCAATGTGTAACGACCACACTGAGTTTTCTTGAGCTGATCTTCGGCTGTGCTCAGACGCACGCGCAAGAAGTCCACATTTTGTCTGAGGCGCGTAATTTCGCTCTGCTTTTCGTCCAGTTTCGATTGCTGGTAGTCATTGTAAGATTTTAAGCGATCGCGCTCATCCAACAGCAGCGCGTATGTGCTCTTATCAATGTAGACGTCTTCTTCGTCAGCCGCGCCACTGCCGCTTTGTGTGGAAATGGTACCTGTAGTTATTGCTGTTACGTTGCTGGCAGACCAGTCTGCGCTGGCATCGGGCTCCGCCTCCACTTCTTCCTCCACCTCCTGCTCCTCTTCGTCGACTGCATCGATTACGCCCACAAGCGCTTCATTCAACCTTGCGGCTGTTAAAGTCACACCGCGATGCAACTGCATTGCCGTCTTCCGCGGCAGCGGTTCGTGTACCAGCACCTCGGGCATCGAACTGTGTCTTTGAAATTTCGCTAGCTTGCGGCGTCGTTCATCTTCGCTACGTATATTTGCTATATATTGTCCGACTTTGCTCTCGACGTGCTTGAAGCGACGCTTCGTATACTGCGAGTGAATATCATGGTAAGAGTAAGACTTGCGGTCATGCTCTGGCAGATGGTGCGCATCGCCTACGCCACCACCAGTGGAAAGCCCAGTTTGATCGCTCTTAACCATGCGTTCGTCGCTTGCCAAGGTCGCCAAACCAGCGGGCTGAGTGCGCTGCTCTGAGGCTGATTCGGCTGAGGATATAGTCTGATCGGCCGATGAGCTGGAGACGCTGAGATTGTGTACAAGCGTTAGTGGGCTTTTGATGCTGTCACCACTGTGCCCTTGTTGTTGACGTTCTCGCAAGCGGTGTGGAAATTGAATTCGATGATGTGGTGGCGTTGGCGATAAGTCCATTTCGAAAAGTTCATCGTGGGGGAAACTTTCATCCTGTATACTCATTTTTTTAATTAATTCACACGTGTGGGCGGTACGGCTGCATAAACTTTACTTTTATATATAAAAAAAAAAATTAAAACGCGACTAAAACTGGTTACATTATTTACAACTCTTTACGATTATTATTTTATTTCATTGCAAACGCAACTGAAATTAAGTAATTTAATTTTTATTGAAGAGATATAACTTTTTATATAAGCATAACTAAATAAAACGTGATTAACAAAAACAATAAACAAGAGTAGAAGAAAACAGTAATTTGTGAAGTGCTATCACGCGCCTGACTGACTTTAGCTCCGTAGGCTTTAGGCTAATTCAGCGATGCAAAAAAATTAGTAAAAAATATGAAAGGTAACGGCACCTGGGGACAATAACCACGGCGCGTACATATTTATGTAGGTAAATATGTATTTTTATATATTACTTCATTAGGGTGTGCCAATGAAAAAAACAAAAAAAAAGAATGGTAAAAATATGGATGTTGTGTTTTTTCTTGGGAAACCCATTTCTACAATGCCAAATAACGAAATAATGGCTTTCTCCTCGAAAAGTCACCACTTCCATACAATATGTCCGAGAGTTACTAAAATTCTATGAACTCTTCTTTAATACAAAATTGTTTTTAATACAAGATTCTTTTCAAAACAATAAAATCTGATAAGAGAAAATAAAATAAAATAAATAAATTGAAAAAGAAAACAAGTTCCTACAAAACACATATATACATAAATTTAAAAAAAAAAAACATTTTTAATACAAAATCTAAAAATTAAGGAAAATTAAATATAAAAAAAGTTAAGTGAAAGAAAAATTAAATTATGTTCCTAAAAATTCAATGAGATTGACAAAGTATTTTTCTTTTTAAAACAATAGAAATTTAAACATAAAATTTCAATTGAAATAAAATAATAAATAAATATAATACCTTTCTACAAATTTAATGAAAATAAAAAAGTTACTTTTTAAAACAATAAAATCTAAAATTAGCAAAAAATTATATTAAGAAAAGGACCAAAAATAAAAAAATATTTTCCTAAAAATTTTTTTTCTGTTTAAAAAAATAACATCTAAAAATGAAATTAAAAAAAGAAATGAAATGAAATTTAAAAAATATATATTTTTCTTTTTAGGACAATGAAATCTAATAATTAAAGGAAAATTAAATAAAAAGAATAAACAACAAAATATTACAAAAAAATCGCTCACCGAAGACTCTACCGATTGGCACACTCGGCTATTGCGACTGTTGGACCGACGCAAGCAAAATTATATTCTAGCAAAAGAGCTTTTCGCCACGAGTGGTGAAATTTCTCGGTTTCTAATTTGTCTTACGAAAGACTTTTTACTATCTTAGCCAGAATTGCCCTTTTATATACTCAGCAACTGAGGACATCTGCTTTTATTCACTTTCGCGTCTCAGTAAAGCGAAACCTAGTAGGGCGAACACCAGTAGGACACAAAGCACATCTAAGGCTAATCATATCCTATGTGATTACTAAGCGGCTACCGGCTACTGTAGAAATCAGCGACAGCCAAATTGTTTCAAGCACTCGGAATTAAACCCGTCTCTCACTCAACTCTACTACGGCAGTCGGATAAAATTATAGCCAATTTCTAAAGAGAGAGCTTTCCTCGGCAGGTGAACATAAAACTTAAAGTGCAATTCCATCAATAAAAGGCTTATCACAAAAACCGGATTGACCTGTAGGTCTCGTCCGTTTATAGGACAACGTCATTGTTCTCAAGAGAGAAATTTATTTCTTTTTTTTTGTTTGTTGAGCGGCTGGCATATTTTTGAGCTAAACTAACTAAAAATAGATACTAGATAGATTTCTTAGCAACGCGAAATAGTTAAGACATCCAATCTATCCTTAGTTGCCTTATCTTATAAGATGATAAGTATGACAATACTGACCTTATGCAATTCACCAGCCAAAGTGCAAGGTTTCCTTATTTCCCATACGTCCTAGCGCTGCCTGCTAGTGTCTTTTGCACACCTTGTTTCTCTCATGAAATGCGAAAAACAGCTGTGAAACGTACTATATAAGGCCCGAAATGAAGGCGCCGTTTATCTTCTCATTGAGATTTGTTACAGGACCATTCTGGCTAAGATTGTTGAAAGTCTTCTGTAAGACAGTAGGCAAGTACATTTTACGAACATTGATGGCTGCGTTTCTTTATACATTCCGGATAATCCCATTTCACAGCCGGAACAAAGAGAATACGTTTGAAATATACGTTAGCATATCATCAGGAATATTCTAAAGAATAAGTAAACAAAAAAGTTTATTCCAAACGTTCAGAATGAATAAAGAAATGCAGCCATTATGTTTTACGAAGGATTCTCAATCGGAAAAAAGTTGGAGAATGGCTTGTAAACGATAAAACAAAAAAGTTGTATAGAAAGAGGCGTGTAGTAACTTGTCAGCACAAGAAAGAGTTTTCATTGTGTTGGAAATTTGTCTTGAACCACAATATTTTATAATATATAATATTCGCATGTGAATGCTTTTTCGGTCCGTTTACGACTGTTGGTAGGTGCTCCACAACTTTAAGGTAAAAAGTACCTACTCAAAAACGAATCGTAAACGGCTATCATAAACGACATTTTATCCTGTTTTTCATCGAGAAAATATCTATTTACGAACTTATTTACGACGATTTTGCTGGCTGGGGAAATATTTTTTTAATTTTTTTCTTGAAAAATTTTCACATATAAATTTTTTGATAAAAAAATTAGTTTTTGAAAATATGCCATCTCAAATAAAAATAAAAAAATCCCAATGGTAGCTCTGAGTGTTGCGCAATATTTAAGTATAGTATTAGGGGGTGCACTGTACAATAATTTGAGTTATGAATAATTTTTTACACCGAAGTTGAGTAAAAGGAGCTCATTACAAATTTACAAATTTTTTTTTTTTTGAATTTTTTTGAGTATGCAGCTTTGTGGCCCATTAACTTTTAATTTTTAAATTTTAAGCGATTGCAAAACTGGCGTTCATTTTTTTTTTTTAATTTTCTTTGAAAACGGTTCTAGGCATTTTCTTTCATAAGAAAAAAGTGCAAAAAGCTGTCAGCATAAGAAATATTAAAAATCAACGCAATTTTCCAGTAGCTTAAAACTTACTCTTTATTATACTGAAATTTAATACTCAAAAATATTCGAAAAAGAAATTTAAAAAAATGGGAAAATTTGTAATATATTCATTGTACTCAACTTCGGTGTAAAAAAAAAATTCTTAACTCAAATTATTAGAGAGTGCATATAATACTATACTTAAATATTGCGCAATACTCAGAGCTACCATTGTGAGTTTTTTTTTTAATTTTTTTTTTTTTTGGAGATGGCATATTTTCAAAAACTGATTTTTTTTTAATCAAAAAATGTGTTTGTGAAAAATTTTTTAAGTTAAAAATTAAAAAAATACATACACATTTCTTTTCATAGAGAATTTTGATGTGTGTGTGTGTGATTTTTTTTTTCAAATTTGTTCTTTACCGCGTTCTCGAGATATTTGGAAATAGATTTTTTTTTGTGCTGTAAAGTTTTAAATTTCATATTTATTTATTATTTATGTTTATCCATCAACCCTAAAAATTTGAAACAAATCAAACACATGAAGTGTGAACCCCGTTCATTTTGGTATGGAACGCCCCACATACATATCGCACGTGTAATAATATACAGAATTATTTCAAAATTTAAATTTTGTGGGAAAACGCAATCAAAGTTTGATCAACTCATACAGTTGGTATACAAAAAGACAGTTGAAAAGACCCATATCTTTGCGATGTTTGGGAAGTTTAGCCATCTGTTAGCCTGAACATGTTCCACTTATCAAGCTTATTAATTGTATGATAAGATCTCCAAAAATGTAAATTTTGAGTAATGTTTCCATATTATTAAACGTGCGATATATGTATATTTTTTTAATTTCAAGTAACTTTTAGAGGCGTTTTTTGGATCTTTATTTTTTTAGTTTGATCTTATTATTTTATCGTTTTAAAAATGAACATTTTTCTTTTTTAATCTAATTTTTAGAAACTTATATTTTCGGGCAGGTTCTACAATTTACTTCCGAGTGAATTTCAATAAAATTTTCTTTGAATTCAAATTGGCAGGGGTTTAAATTCACTCGGAAGTGAATCGCAGAACCTGCCTGTTTATCATCTTTTTCTAATTTAAGTGTTTTCTCTTTTAATTGCATTAAGAGAAAATGTGTTTTTAAATATAATTTCATTTTTAGGAACTTGTGTTATTTATTTATTTTGTTTCTTTTAGCTTGTAGATATTTCAAAATAATTTTTTTCATTTCACTCATTAAGAACTTATTTTTTAAACTTTTTAATGCATATATTGTTTTAAAAATAAAAATATATATATTTTATTTTTTTAAATTTTGTCGCTGCTGTCAATATTCTGGCCCGTTGCCAAGAGCGAACCGTCATGGACGTAACCCTAAATTTACAAGCACGAGTATGGTCTTGTAGAGGTTAAAAAACGTATGTAAAATTTTAAATTTGTGAAACGACCGATGTGACTTCAGCTGCATAACGGAAGTTTATTTTTTAAATGAACACATGCATGTTTTTTTCAGTTAAGTTTTATTTAAATTTGTATACATAGTTATAATAAGAAAACAACTAATAACAGTAACAAAATTTAAACAGTTTCAAACAAAAACGGATCGATATAAAGACAAGAAAAATGTTTAGTGCATATAAAGAATCGATTATAAGGAAAAACTGAAAGTAATTTCATATTTCGTACAATAAATTTTACAAATTGCAAAGTCAATACGAAAATTGAGATTTGATCATATTTATCGGTTTGTTAAGACGAATGTTTCATCAGGTGACCAAACTAATATTCTACTAATTTTACTATTTTTTATAATCAAAACCCTTTTACTAAATATGTAGCTAGAATGCATGTATAAGTATTTGGTATAAATGTGTGTATATGTATTAGAATTTTATATGTACATATATTTGGATTATAATATTTTTGTAGAATACATATACAATTTTTTGCATAGTATAGTGTTTATTTGTGTATACATATGTAGAATTTTTGTTACACCAAAGTCAAGCGGAATGAATAAAGCACATACATAAATAG